AGGAGAAAGCATGAGATGAGGATGAGCTGCAGGACGAAGAGGAGGAAGAGCGTAGGAGGGTTGGATTGATGGGTGGACAGTGGCAAAAAAATCGCCCACGGAGCCACTTTGTTGAGATAACAGAGTAGTATCAGTGCCAGGGCTGATGGGAGGGGAATCACTATCTCTTCCTGAATGCTGTAGGCAAGCATGTGTGTCTCTCAATGTGTGTCTTTGATACATAAAGAAAGATACCACAGCACACACACACACACACGCAACACCACCCACTCTCAGTTTTTCTCTCAATACATCCTGCAGTCACGGGCTTCAAAGTCCTGAAGCTAACGGGATGGGACCACCACGGTTAGTTAAGTAGAGACATGATCCATGTCCTGATCACAGAGGAGGACAGGAGGTGAAGGGGGGAGGTGGTAGAAGGAGGAAGTTGCAGGAGAGAGAGGAAAAAGAGGAGGGGAGGAATTGACAGAGACAAAGGAAGGAAATCAGGAGGGAGAGATGGAAGAGAGAGGAAAGGATGGAAGGTCTTCGGAGAGATGTCCCTTTTGAAGAGGACACGGGTGCTGCTCAATCACAGCAAACTTCAAAGGCTCTTCATTAAAGCCTTGCCTGGAGACGGGAGCCCTCCCCTCCTCTCTCCCCTCCATCCTCCTTCTTTCCTTCACTGTCTGTCTGTCTGTCTCACTCACTCTCTCTTTCTCCCCCTGCATCCACTCAGCCGTTAAAAAACAGCAGGTAGAGAAGAGAGTGAATGAGAAGAAGAGACAACAGACGACAAAGGGAGGAAGATCAGCCATGCAGGCGGCAGAAAGCCACGTCTGTCGAGTGGAATGGGCAATGTCTTTTCTTAGAATCTATCTTCTTTTGTTGTTGCTCAAGCTCAATCAGCGATGTTGTCTTGCTCTTCTTCTTTCACGGCTTGAGTCGGAGGCGGATGAAAAGGTGCGCACAGGCTTGAGTGAGGAATCAGAATAGAAACAGGAGAATGCTTCACAGTGTTTGAAGCCCGCCGCGGCAGGGTGATGTGTCACATAACTTATCAGCTGTCACATGAAAAAGCGGTTCCCAAAAAGTCAATTTCAGGACTTAAATTGAAACGGCGCCTGTTTTTGATAAGATTATTGCATAGATTATATCATATGTCTTTGCTGCTGCTGATACGTTTGATCACTGCCATCATATACGCATTGAACTCATAATGTCCAATCAATGTCATGACGAAATGTACACCATGCTGAGGAGAAATGCAGCGAGCATCACAGCTGATCATTAGCAGGACTACATATATAGCACATCCTCCCCTGAGCACACACTTCAGTCGAGAGATTGGGAATCAAAAGTAAAAAGAAGCGTCTCTTTTCTCTGATTGGATATGGTGGCATGGACATCTGTCAGGTAAAATAACAACAAATCAGGCTTCCTTTGCAGACAGAGAGCCTGTCTGTCAAAAATGATTAAAACACATCCATGACGGAAGCTCTGACAGAAGTAAACAGAGATCATTTTTGCATCACTAGTTGAGTGTTTGCTCTGCTGTCACATGAGTAGCCATTTGGATTTATGATTCAAGAACTACAATAATCAGGAACACTGGCATCAAAGCTTGTGTCAACATATAATGTTGATATACTGCATTAAAGTTGCTTCAAGTTACAATTTGTATTCAGTAGACCCACCTGTATTATCAGCTTTGGGCTACAGAGCTTTTCTGTGGCTCGGGCAGGAACATAATTAGTTTTATATTCATGTTGAATTTACCATCTACTCAAATATGACTTTGATCTCTAACATTAGGTAGTCAAGTGAATGTTTGGCCATCATACTATCAGCATTTTCAAATGCTATACACTAAATCATTGATGCTATTTAAGCAAATTCCCTTTCATCCACTTCAAATAGTTGTGTTTAGACTTAGAGGATTTTCGAGGTTAAATAAAAAGTCAAACTGTCTAACCAAAATGCTTCTTACTGTTTAAATAAATGCTTAAAACATAATTATATAACTTTTAATCAACAAAATGAAACCAATTGATAACATATCACTTCTAAAATAGTGATTAGGCCAAGAAGGCAGAAAAGTAATTTGCTTGTAAACCAAGGTTCCTAATGCAATAGACTCGTTACATGTGGCTTTTTGTGGCATAGCTAGATATGCGATCTAAAACTGTAAGTATTATGAACAAAAACGAAATAGAATCACAGGGGTAACTGGTCTAAAATGACCTTGTCCATAAAATATAGCAGTGCTGCTTCCTGCGCATTGCACATGTGGTACACCCATAGAAAATTATTTGTGTATTTACTTTTATTTATTTTTATTTATTTTTGCTAAACAGTGAATTTATTGTTTTGAAAAGCCCAACATTATCTGTATTTATTTTGGTGACATTCATATAATGTTATGGTTTATCTGTAGGCCTACTGTTTGAGAAACAGTAACGGCCCGTCCACACAGCGGCGTGCGTTGAAGCTTCCAACGCTTCTGCCCATTCACTTTGAATGGGGTGACGTCACTTTTAGCCGAACTGTATTTTGGGAAGCGACGTGGAGCGTTGCTGGCGTTGCTCGCTTCAAAAGTTGAGCAATGTCCAACTTTTGACGCCTCGACGGAGGCGTCAGCCAATCGAATCATATGCCAGTACAAGCTCTAGCCAATCAAACCGCGTGCTTGTGTGTCTGGGGCGGGAGATTCATGTGATTGGTTGTTGGTCGAGTCAGGGGCGCCGCCAGGGATTTTGGGCCCCCTGAAAATATATCACATTGGGCCCCACCACCAGGCACAGGCCACTTTGTTTATAAATTACCTCGAGGGCCGTACCAAATGGTCTAGCGGTCCGTATATATGGCCTGGGGGCCGGAGGTTCCCCACCCCTGCTTTAATATAATAACATTAGTTTTAATATCATAGCCAAAATGTCGGTGATTAACATTTTGTTTACAGACTGATCACTCAATGCTTCAAACTGTCCATCATCCTAAATAGACTAAAAGCAGTTTTTTGTTTTATATAGATAATTGGCTATGTGGGAAAATACTGTGTTTGAAATGTATAATTTAAATGAGATGTTAGCTTTTTGTTATATATATATGTTTTGTATTCCAGTCTCCCTTCAGATATGTTAAGTGGCATTCAACACAATACTGCTCACCTCCTTCAGTTTGGAGAAAAGCTGGTTCAGGTTCAGCCTTATGGGGGGACAGGGCTGCTGAGCCTAAAGATGGATCTGTTGGACCTGGCACCAGGGGGAGGGACAACTGATTTAGTATGAATAGGCGCTAAAAATGTGCCTGCATTTATTAAAGGTAGGTAGGTAAAATGGAGAAACCAGCTCGAAGCGCTAGAATTTGAAAGTACACAACCGAAAAAAATATGCCCCTTCGTTCAGAGTTCCTTACAGAGCCCCTCCTCCAACACACACAAACGCGCACATGACCAATGAGGGCACGAGATAAGCTGTGCACAGATGGAAGGCTGACAGGCAGGTAGGCCATCCAATCATTTTAGCCGGCCTCAGATGATTGGTCGTGCTTTTTACAGCGCCACGGCTTCCACAGATGAATTTTTGTACGTATTTATTGTCAAAGCATTTAATATATTCATTGCTATCGGATGTTAAGAGCATTCCATGGAATATAACAAGTGTATCTGAAGTGAATTACCTACCATACCTTTAAATGTCAGCTAAAAGAGCAGTGAAATTAAAGACCTCTGCATTTTCTGTAAAGATATTAACAGTACTTGATGTCAGCTTAGTAAACAAAAAAACATTAGCTAACAGACTAATTTCCACCACTCATGGACCACACCCACCTTTTCTTGTGAAAAACTGAGAAGGGTCTAGCTGCGGCCGCGGCCAGTACACGATGGTACACGATGGTACACGACACGCCCACCTGACACGCCCACCTGACACGACACTACGGTAGCAGAAAGGGTTCTAGCTGCGGCCGCCGAAAAGTTGTACTTCCAAATATGGTCAGAAGAGAGCACGCCCAACACGTGAGGTTTACAGACAACAAATAACATGGAGCACCGAGTACAGGTACTTAACGTATTGTGGTTTTAGATATAATTACATACTATTTAGGTTCTCGTTTGTTTGTCGATGTGGCTGTTTAGCGCAGTGTAATTGTGTTTATTTTTATATCTTAGCTTGACATGCTCGACGTTCAATTAACTTAGCATATATGCTAACTGAACATGCATGTACTCTAATTTTTACAAGAATCTGATTTTATGTAAGTTTTAAATATTAATTGAAGGTGTCTTTCACATTGAATGTTTTTTATTTAAACATGTATTTAGCTCCTATACTGTAGACATGTAAATTTGTATAATTATTATTTTAAGTGTGGTTTAAAGTTAAATGGTAGTTATTGGGTAGAGCCAAGTAACCCAGGTGGATGCAATCAGGTAATTAGGACAGAGCCTCTGTTTTTAGATGGGGTTTATGCTGTAGGCCTGACATTTAAACTAGCTGAAGGGCTTTCTGTTCGAACCACAGTGAAATTTAGAGGTTGTTTGTGCATTAAAGGGTTACCTTCTGAAAGTGAGGAAGTTATGACCAGCTTTGTTCCCATAGGATTATACAGGCCAGTCCATTGCTGCTTGTTTAAGGAGTTAAACTATTTCCAATATTAAAGTCACTTAAATTGTATTCTATTTTATTTCACCTATAGACAAACAACACAACACTCCGTGATGGAGCACGCCCAGAGCTCAACAAATTGGACTCGGACACCTTCCAGTGTCCATTTTGTGAAAGGACCGGGTCACAACCCAGCCGTCACGTGTACATTATGTCTTGCATGTGCTAATAAAATTCTCATTACAGTATGCCTGGTAATTTGCCATGGAGGCCAGCTTTGACTTCAGCATTGTAAGTATTAGGGAAACGAAGTCACATTAAAATGCTATAACAAACTTAATGAAAATTGATGCTCTTTCTTTAGCATGACATGTCTCTCCTGAGAAGGTGGTGGTGTGTTTATCCTGGTGGAAACTTTGGACTGGAAGGGTATGCTGCAGTGCTACAAAAACATTTGAATTTGTAATTGTATTATCAAGAAGATTTGGGGGGAACACCTGGCTCTAAAATTCAACCTTCTGGTGAAGAAAATGTGTCTTAATTGCAGGTATGGAAAGAGGTTTGCTCACTATAGTGAGGAAGGCAGGGCGACCCTTAGCGACAATGTCCCACGTACATTCAGGATCAGTCGTAAAAGGACGCATGCAAGCAGCACCATGGTCAGTGTATCGCTCAACGTATCTATGACCCTGTGTGCCTGTTTCAGAATGGGTTACTACTCCTAAAACACATACTACATAGAACTTATGTACATGCAACATTTGTTTTTGTGTGGTACTGTGTCATTTCTGAATCGAGCCTGGATCATTTTTGGAGGAGTTAAACCGTGCATGTAAAGCACTGTCAAAATAATGGTTGACTGTCTACAGATGCCCCTGGACACTGATGAGGACCACTCCTATAACAAGAGGCCTTACAGCTTCCTTCCTAAAGAGTCGGTTAGTGAATGGACACATTAAAGTGTACAACCCCTGATGCATGTGATTTTTATAATATTACATATGACTTCTTTATACCATCTTGTCTTATCAGTAAGATGGAACTTTGTTCTCATGACCTCGCCAAGAACATGAGTGAGGAAGCGCACCAAAGGCTGAAGGACTTGTGAAAGATTCCGAGGAGTTTATTATTTATTCAATATTTTTTTAAGTTGACCAGCTCTGATTTTCCATTTGATGTTCTGTTCAATAAATGTTCATTGAGGAAAACGGTATCAGTGTCATATTTTATATACATCACAGTGAATGCTGAACTTGCCTGACCATATACTGCAGTTGAAAGTACACGATGAAACACTGGCTCAATCAATACAATTCCCACATGCTCTACCCCGGAACCTGCGGTCTTCAGACTCTGGCCCCCCGCACCAACCTGCGATCCTTCGGGGACAGAGCCTTCAGTATGGCAGCCCCCACTCTCTGGAACGCTCTCCCTGCGGAGATCTGCAACATCCCCACGCTTGATGCCTTCAAAAGGGCCCTCAAGTCCCATCTGTCTGCCAAGGCCTTTGGCCCCAAATCTATTTGTTGTTTTGTCTGACTGCCTTTTGTTATGTTTGTTTCTACTCCTGTTCTTCTTTTTAAAGGGACCTTGGATCTCATTAAAGGCGCTATATATATCCTATTATTAATACATCATTGGTAAGCATTTTTACAATATTCTGGCTTTCACTGTTCAAATGAGATGTCAACCATCAAAATGGGATAAGGGGTTCCAAGGGGTTCTCAAACGAATAGGTTATTAATTTATTTGCCTAATAGTTGCTTAAAACGGATAGGTTATTAATTTAGTTGCTTAAAATGCCTAATAGTTGCTTAAAACGGATAGGTTATTAATTTATTTGCCTAATAGTGGCTTAAAACGCCTAATAGTTGCTTAAAACGGATAGGTTATTAATTTAGTTGCTTAAAATGCTACAATAACATGCCATGTACGCAGGGCCGCCCCTCCCTACAGGCCCAATTACGCAGGCTGCATGGGGCCCCGCCTTGCGCAGGGGGCCCCGCCCAGAGGGCCTCAGCTGATGTGTGCAGTTCTCCGCTCAGTTCTCCGTGCACCCCCGCGAGAGTGAGAGGTGACAAGGGGAGCACGTCTGTAACCCGACACCGTTGCAATGAATCCACATCTGACCAATCACGGCTTTGATACGGCCACTAGTGCAGGTGAAGAGATGTCGGTGAAAAGACAGTTTTAGTCCGGCGCACAAAACATGAAGAAACTAGAGCATCACTCGAAGGTGGGTTATTGTATGAGTCAAATGTACAACTTACGAATGTTGTATAAGTCAAATTGCCAATTGCCATATTAAAACATCAGCTGCAATTCACGACATGAAGAAGGCAGTCTCTGCAGAGCATATAGGCTAATGGAGATGCAGTTATTTCCAGCATTCTTTATTTACCATTCATTCAAGTATGTTATGTCTTTTATCTGCTAATGTATACAGGAGGAAGAGTGATAAACTGTCTGTCTAGTTGGCTTACATAACAGTTAAAGTTTACAGCCTAAAAAACATGGAGAATGTTTTCCCGTTTTATTCATTTTTATGTCAATTTGCACATTTAATGGTGATGCTCAGCCTCTCCCCTTAACTGTTAACAGTCATCATCATGTCAACCACAACACAGAGAAATACTGATAGAAATGTGTGTGTAGTTGTTGATACATTGCTGACAGAGAGAACTAGAATACAGATTTAAGAAATATCAGTTTTGAGCATGTCATAAGCATGTTTTATCTTGACTATATTACAACTATATTATAATAAAATAATATAGTATTTATATTATTGAATTGATTATGATTATTAGTAAAAGTAATTTATTTGCATTAATTATATTTTAATCTTTCTGAGGCTAGTATTTGGCAGGAAATGCAGACGTAGTCACCTGTAAACGAATACTGAACGATATACATGCACATTTACCATTTACCTCACTGTATAAAAAAGTAACTGTGTTGATAATAATAATAAACAGGATTTTTTTTTTCACTCCTGTCGGTTGGGGGGGGCCTCATCTCACAATGTCGCTTGGGGCCCCAAGTTGACCAGGGGCGTCCCTGCATGTACGGTCTCCACCGTAGGCGGCGTAGTTGTCGTCAATTCGCTTTTCATCTGCCATGCCTCTCAGCCACCGTAGTGTCAGGTGGGCGTGTCGTGTACCATCGTGTACCGCCGTGTACTGGCCGCGGCCGCAGCTAGACCATATTGGAAAAACTGGGTGACATACTGTCGCTCTTTAGTCCCTCTCTTGTCTTTCTCTTCTTTTCTTAGAGCCTGACTTTGTTGGTCGTTGAAACATGGTACAACACACGTATGTAGGCTAAGTACTAGCATCCCTCCTCAGTCCTCACATGCTTTCACTCTGCAGTGCCGGTGCCGCACCGCGTTTGGAGGCAGGACCAAACCATTACATGTAAATAGAAGGGGGTGTACAGAGGCTTTGGGTAATTCACTTTTGGAAGAAAATAAGTTAAATGAATCGTAAGTTTAGTGAGTAATGTATCAATATAACGTTCTATTAATGTTAATTATTGAGGATTGATGAAAGGTTACTTAAAAAATGTTTCTTAATGTTCTGAACATTTTGGGGCCCCTGTCAGTCACGGGCCCTTAGAATCGTCCTAAATGTTCACCCCCTTACGGCGCCCCTGGGTCGAGTGTCAGACACGCCCGCCGTCAAGCGTTAACGCACGCCGCTGTGTGGACGGGCCGCGCCAAGGTGGAACCTTTGGCAGGTGAGCGGTGACATCTGGGTTATTTTAGTGGGGACACTTCCGCCCCTTGACGATCAACCGGATCCTGTGTCTAATTCTTGCTGCTGCACTTTTCTGTTTTCTACAGGTCAGTACATGATGAAAATGATCGATGTTAACTTGTATAAATTAGATGTAATGTTAGAGATGTTTAAGAGAGTGTGTCAGAAAGTTTTGAGCATGTTTGACATAGAAACGGTATTTTAAAAATACTAAATTGTTGGCAACTATTGATGCCATTTTCGCGGGCTTCAGCTATTTGAATGTGTACTTTTGAATTTTGAATAAGAAGCAATCCAGACGATCAACCGGATCCTGTGTATAATTCTTGCTGGCGAATGCTAAGGGCGCATCAACCCATAGGGGGCGCCGGAAAAAAAAAAAAAAAAAAGTTAGAAATTAAAAAGATTTTTTTTTTTTTTTTTCATAATACACAATTTCCCGATTTTGGATCAACAAAGTACATCTTATTATCTTATACTAACAGAACTACGCGTACAGCGCCCATAAACTATGGCACACCCCCCCAAAATCAAGTTGAACTGCCCCAGTCCCAGTAAAAAGGTTTATGTGAAATTGTTCTTTTTTTTAAATAATGGTTTTAGTGTGCAATTATAGGTTTTAATTTATTTTGTATTTGTATTTGTATTCATTTAAAATAAATCAAACTCCCAAAAAACATACACAGCTTCTGTGTGCTTTTATTAACATTGGAATTTACATTGTAAGCGGCCGCGGGGTGAGAGCTTTAGAGAGCTCTCTCCTGAAAGACTGAGAGGCTCTGATAACCTCAGCTCAGTGAGGTAAAGGCACACCTCTATATGATCATTATAGTTATAAAAAATAAGAGAATAGATGAAAACAGGTATAAAATACTGACAGTACAAAAAAGTTTGAAACAAGAATACAGTTTGAAAGGGGAGTGATTTTTAAAATATCCATAAAGAAAAAGAAAATCTGTTTACAGTTCTGTTTCATATGGGTGTTGAGAGATGTATCCATAGATCTCTTCATGTTGCTCTCAAAGTGCACCAGATTGATGCTTTTAACTTCAATATTTAAAAAAAAAAGTCTTCCCGGGGGCATCTTTCTGTTTTGGTGGTCATGCCACTACCGGGGGGGGGGGGGGGGGGGCGCCAGCTAAAATCTTGCCTAGGGCGGCAAATTGGTCAGGGCCGGCCCTGCTTGCTGCTGCACTTTTCTGTTTTCTACAGATATTATTTATTGTTGCTGTGGTACCCAAGCTTTTGGGACCCGTAACACACAGATTGTACAAAGTGCAGTGATGAGTCCTATAGCTGGAGTTTGAAATACATCTCCAAGCAGCATGATAATGTGGGTCAAGATAGGCCAAAGTGTCAAGGCTAAGCTAATGTTAGCGCTGCACTGAGAACAATGTTGGGAATACAGGAAAAAGCAAGGGATCAGCAAAGTTAATGGTCTGTGTTCGGCCATGGATATCTACAAAGTTCATGGCGATGTTGAGAAATGTCAGTCTGAACCAAAGTGTTGACTGACTGAAGGACTGCCATCCCTAGATCTGTGCTAGTATGGCCACCATAATTGACACATTTTCAAGTGTTCTCTTTGTGAGGTGCGAAAGCCAAACACCTTTTATTTTGGGCCATAACATACCGACATTCTAAAGGCCAAATCTGGTTTATCACACCTGGTTGCAGATGCCCATTAGATGCTATTTGGTATGTAGACATGACGTCAGCCATGGTGGTGCAACATGTTGTTATTAACGGGGCCTGGACGGATCGTTAACTCTTGGAAGGCAGCTGTGAATGATCTGTCCAGCCTGTCCTTACCAAAAACATCCTGCGTCACAGTAGGGTCTTGCAGTGTCGGACACACATCACTGCATCCATCACTAGAGGATCAATACGACTGAACTCCCCATCTGCCACCAACTGCTGTCGTCGGGACGGTTCCTTCACATCACTACAAATGTGTGATTAACTGAGTAATTTAAGCATGAACAAATATTGAGTCTGGCAGCTACGCTAGTGTACTGTACATCACCCCCTTCTGTTCTCCATGCAGATGTGACTTCAAAGATGCATCCTCTTCCTTGCCCCCTGGTTTTAACATCCTGGAAAGATGATTTATTTGGAGATATGAAGCTTTCATCATAATGCGCTGCAATGATTATGAGAACAAAGGCAACAGTGCAAAGCCAGGTCTACTCAAAGGTCTTCTGGAGTTCAGCGACTCAAAACTCTCCACTTTCTGTGATGAATATATAATCAAACAAAACAGAGGGCAAAGTAAGATGGGATTAGCATGTTTCGACTTCACTGAACTTTCTCATTGAAATGTATATGTGTTTCATTAGAAAGTTAATCACACATCTCAACATCAAATCTCAACTTTTCCTATTCTGCTTTGATCTTTTACGACAACCTTATGGATGTGTCAGAACTCATTCACTATTCACTGTAAGGCA